GTGAAAAAAACTGACAAAAAATAGTCATTAAATAAGGAAACATTTCCAGTTCATTATCCGTCAGCTGTCCATTCCCAGATTTCAGAGGTCCTACTTTTTCCTTCACCTTCGTCCTATACACTTGAAAGAACCCCTTTGGATTAGTCTTTGATTCATTAGCGACTCTAATTTCATAGTCACGTTTAGCCTTTCTAATCGCCTTTTTTACTTCTCTTTTAAGCTGAACATATTGGTCAGTAAGGTTAACCTCTCCTCTTCTGATGCGCCTATAAATTCCCCTTTTCTCCCCTAATAGATGCTTTAACCTCCTGTTAACCCATTTGGGATCGTTATTATTAGACCTAATTTCTCTCTGGGGAATGTATATACTCTGGGCACTGTGTACATTATTAAGAAAACAATCATAAAAGCAGATCCCTTCATATTCATAAGTATGATTATCGTCAATAAAATCATTAGCTAGATAACCCCAATCAAGATTAGACAGATGTTCCCTAAGTCCATTATAATCTGTAAAGTAAAAGGACACAAGTGCAACTAATGTGACATTTATTGTGGCAACGTTTCGCTCTCCAGGAGCTTTATCAAGCCATTACCACAATAAATGTCACATTAGTTGCACTTGTGTCCTTTTACTTTACATATTGTCGGTAATTCTACCAACTTTATTCCATTATAATCGGCAGAACGAAAATCGGGGATTTTTACTGTATTATCATTATTCTTGCATTCCCAATTAATGCTAAAGGTGATGGATTTGTGATCACTTGCGCCAAGCTCTTCAGTGATCTCCAGATTATTCACTAGTGTTTCCTTATTTGACAAGACTAGGTCTAGCAAATTATTACCCCTGGTAGGTTCAGTTACACTCTGTTTCAGAAAACAGTCCTGAACTGTTTCCATGAAGTCACTGGACTCTAGATTACCTGTCAAAGAATTCCAGTCAATTTGGCTAAAGTTAAAATCCCCTACATTCACTTAGGAAAACTTTAATTGATTCTTATGTTCTTATGATGAAGGAATTACTAGTGATATGAGCAAATTCGCCGATGACACGAAGATAGGTAGGATAAACATTAAAATGGTATAAAATACCGACAGATTGTTAGGTAAGACACATATGCAACAGTTAGGTATCTTTATTTTGAAACGTTTCGCCTACACAGTAGGCTTCTTCAGTCGAGTACAGAAAAGTTGATTGAAGCAGAAGATACTTGGAGACGATGTAATCAGTCCATCACCCTTAAAGTTTTGAGGTGGTCAGTCCCTCAGTCTGGAGAAGAGCATTGTTCCGTTGTCTGAAACAATATGAAGTTGAAGTGACAGAATCGGGCCTTATATAGTGCCAGGAGGTGAGACGTAGGTTGATTTGGGAGGGCAGGTCCTTCTCAAAGTATCTTCTGCTTCAATCAACTTTTCTGTACTCGACTGAAGAAGCCTACTGTGTAGGCGAAACGTTTCAAAATAAAGATACCTAACTGTTGCATATGTGTCTTACCTAACAATCTGTCGGTATTTTATACCATTTTAATGTTCATTCTGTCAGACACTGCAACACAAGGGTATCTTGGTACAGACCATCTACCTCGACAACCTCTACTAGTGAGAACGGCTGGGTTTGAGAAGGACCTGCCCTCCCAAATCAACCTACGTCTCACCTCCTGGCACTATATAAGGCCCGATTCTGTCACTTCAACTTCATATTGTTTCAGACAACGGAACAATGCTCTTCTCCAGACTGAGGGACTGACCACCTCAAAACTTTAAGGGTGATGGACTGATTACATCGTCTCCAAGTATCTTCTGCTTCAATCAACTTTTCTGTTGTGCAAAGAAAGGTATAAAATACCGACAATATGAAAGTTAAGACACATGTGCAACATCTGGATATCTTTATTGTAGTAGACGTTTCGCCATCCAGTGGCTTTATCAATACAGATTCTAGGACATAATAGGAAGACAGTAGAACTATATACAAAAGATGAGGTAATCAGTCCCTCGGCCTTGGAGTTAGTGTTCACAGCATCGTGGTGGAGGAGAGTCTGGAGCAAAGGCAAGAAGACTGGCGCTTTTTATAGGCGTCAGTGAATCTGTATTGATAAAGCCACTGGATGGCGAAACGTCTACTACAATAAAGATATCCAGATGTTGCACATGTGTCTTAACTTTCATATTGTCGGTATTTTATACCTTTCTTTGCACAACTTGTCAGACACTGCAACATCATGGTATCTTGGTTCAGAGGACATCTACAAGACCTTCTTCACGGCTGCTGCATCTAACCCATCTCTTTGGGAAGGACCTACTTCCACTGGGGAATCCCGCCTACCAGTGACTGACCTCGTCTGCTGCCCGTCCCATTCACTGACGCCTATAAAAAGCGCCAGTCTTCTTGCCTTTGCTCCAGACTCTCCTCCACCACGATGCTGTGAACACTAACTCCAAGGCCGAGGGACTGATTACCTCATCTTTTGTTTATAGTTACTACTGTCTTCCATTATGTCCTAGAATCTGTATTGATAAAGCCACTGGATGGCGAAACGTCTACTACAATAAAGATATCCAGATGTTGCACATGTGTCTTAACTTTCATATTGTCGGTTTTTTATACCTTTCTTTGCACAACTTGTCAGACACTGCAACATCATGGAATCTGGTTCAGAGGACATCTACAAGACCTTCTTCACGGCTGCTGCATCTAACCCATCTCTTTGGGAAGGACCTACTTCCACTGGGGAATCCCGCCTACCAGTGACTGACCTCGTCTGCTGCCCGTCCCATTCACTGACCCTATAAAAAGCGCCAGTCTTCTTGCCTTTGCTCCAGACTCTCCTCCACCACGATGCTGTGAACACTAACTCCAAGGCCGAGGGACTGATTACCTCATCTTTTGTATATAGTTCTACTGTCTTCCTATTATGTCCTAGAATCTGTATTGATAAAGCCACTGGATGGCGAAACGTCTACTACAATAAAGATATCCAGATGTTGCACATGTGTCTTAACTTTCAACTTTTCTGTACTCGACTGAAGAAGCCTACTGTGTAGGCGAAACGTTTCAAAATAAAGATACCTAACTGTTGCATATGTGTCTTACCTAACAATCTGTCGGTATTTTATACCATTTTAATGTTCATTCTGTCAGACACTGCAACACAAGGGTATCTTGGTACAGACCATCTACCTCGACAACCTCTACTAGTGAGAACGGCTGGGTTTGAGAAGGACCTGCCCTCCCAAATCAACCTACGTCTCACCTCCTGGCACTATATAAGGCCCGATTCTGTCACTTCAACTTCATATTGTTTCAGACAACGGAACAATGCTCTTCTCCAGACTGAGGGACTGACCACCTCAAAACTTTAAGGGTGATGGACTGATTACATCGTCTCCAAGTATCTTCTGCTTCAATCAACTTTTCTGTACTCGACTGAAGAAGCCTACTGTGTAGGCGAAACGTTTCAAAATAAAGATACCTAACTGTTGCATATGTGTCTTACCTAACAATCTGTCGGTATTTTATACCATTTTAATGTTCATTCTGTCAGCACACTGCAACACAAGGGGTATCTTGGTACAGACCATCTACCTCGACAACCTCTACTAGTGAGAACGGCTGGGTTTGAGAAGGACCTGCCCTCCCAAATCAACCTACGTCTCACCTCCTGGCACTATATAAGGCCCGATTCTGTCACTTCAACTTCATATTGTTTCAGACAACGGAACAATGCTCTTCTCCAGACTGAGGGACTGACCACCTCAAAACTTTAAGGGTGATGGACTGATTACATCGTCTCCAAGTATCTTCTGCTTCAATCAACTTTTCTGTACTCGACTGAAGAAGCCTACTGTGTAGGCGAAACGTTTCAAAATAAAGATACCTAACTGTTGCATATGTGTCTTACCTAACAATAGGTAGGATAATTGATTCAAACGTAGATGTTAGGGAACTTCAGGAGGATTTAGACAAACTCTACTCTTGGTCAGAAAAGTGGCAGATGCAGTTCAATGTAGATAAATGCAAGGTTCTGAAGCTTGGGAGTGCCCATAACCCTAGTACTTATAAGTTAAATAATGTAGAACTTAGCCATACAGATTGCGAAAAGGACTTGGGGGTTATGGTAAGCAGCAACCTTAAACCAAGACAGCAGTGCCTAAGCGTACGTAATAAGGCAAATAGATTACTGGGATTTATATCAAGAAGTGTAAGCAACAGAAGTCCAGAGGTCATACTGCAGCTTTATACATCATTAGTAAGGCCTCACTAGATTATTGCAGCTCAATTCTGGTCTCCATATTACAGAATGGACATAAATTCGTTAGAAAACATTCAGCGTAGGATGACTAAATTAATACATAGCATTAGAAATCTTCCTTATGAAGAAAGATTGAAGACTCTTAAGTTACATTCACTTGTTAGACGAAGAATGAGGGGTGACCTGATCGAAGTGTATAAGTGGAAGATAGGTATTAATAAAGGGGATATTAACAAGGTCTTGAGGATATCTCTCCAAGAGAGAACCCGCAGTAATGGATTTAAATTAGGTAAGTTTAGATTTAGAAAGGACATAGGAAAGTATTGGTTTGGAAATAGGGTAGTTGATGAGTGGAACAGTCTACCTAGTTGGGTTATTGAGGCTAGGACTTTGGGTAGTTTCAAATTTAGGTTGGATAAGTACATGAGTGGGAGGGGTTGGATTTGAGTGGGACTTGCACATCGGAGCTTGTTTCTTGGGTGGCATTGAAAGTTGGGTTGGTCAAATGTTTGTTAGTGGGATGAATTGTAAAGGACCTGCCTAGTATGGGCCAACAGGCCTGCTGCAGTGTTCCTCCTTTCTTATGTTCTTATGTATATATTTCGGTATCAGGACCTTGATTACATCAAATGCTTCCTAGACCAAAACGTATCCAATAAAGGCCTCCCAAGTAAATTAATTTATGTCCTCCTCCCCATAGATGCTACTGCTGCATGTGTACGAGGATGCTGATCTTTAACTCACATGGTACCGTGGACGGGCACGTTGGAGCAGCTTGTGGGCATGTGAACATGGGTAGCAGTACGATGGAAGGCTGGATACAAAGGGTCGCCTGGGTGACCATACTCTTCAAATACTCCCCAGCGGTACTTCGCCCACTCCTGCACCAGCAAGCGACCTGCAGAGGAAACAATTAGAAAGTGTTGTTGCTCTTCAACACATTTATTCATGTATTCTGAGGACCTTTGTGCTTTATATGGACTTTTCATGTGATTTTTTTTTAAAAATAAAGCAAAATATTTTAAAAATATTGAAAAATGTGCTAAAACGTTATTTAATGCATATTTCTGTTTGGTTTGAAGTATTTTCTGGCATATCTTAATTCTTTAGCTGAAATATTGTACTCACAGTAGCAGGAATACTTTGGACGAAATATATACTGTAACATACAATAGAAGGATATACAAAGACAATCACGTTTAAAATTCATGGTTAATTGTGCGCTAGATTCATATATTAAATAACCTACACCTCAGTTTTTTTTTTCTGTTTCTCGAAACACTGAATTAATTTACGAGTGAAGGAAAGGATCATACAAAAGAAAATATTCCTAACAAGTTTGGCTGTATTTAACGTTTTAAATCCAACCAAATTAAACACGGCTAGAAAGACAATATTAAGCTGGACTCTGGACACGTTTATATTTAATTATTTTATGGGTAATGTAATTCGCAAGCTTAATGTAATTCTCAAGCTTAAGAACACATCACGTAATAATGTAGTAATGTAAACAAAGATTGTATTGTATTTAAATTTATAATATACATAGTACATTTGTAAACAAAGATGTATTTCGTTTTTATTGGGACTTGATAAAGGTCTACAGAGAGCGAAACTTTATCCCTAAAAAAAAGCCTTTTGTGCAATATATAGTTTGTTTTCATACTTGTCATCAGTGCGCCATTTCATATAAAATGTGGGAAATTTATGCTCTGAAACCTTAATTAACACCATCTTATGATGTGGGAAGTGTGGCATGTGAAGTCGCTCTTATCACCTCCTTTCAATATATTAAAAAATTTTGTGTATCAGTTGCATATGGACAATTAATAGTAACAATCACACTAAAATAATATTTATTATTATTATTATTATTATTATTATTATTATTGCTCGATTTTTTTCTAAAGACAGTTGTACAGTGACTGACCTGAGAAAGCTGATAGCCAAGATTCACATCAAGAGCTTTAAGGTTTATAACTTGGGAGTTCAAGCAGGCAGTTTGGTACCTACCTGCTTGCCTACCTTCCTGCTGGTCTTCATATCTATTTACATACTTCAGCTGCATAACTGCTTTCTTGGAAATGTGTTGATCAACTTTCTCCCTACCTGCCTGTCATCGCTTTCCCGGTTTCCTGCCAGTCTACCTGCCTGCTTGCCTGCCTGCCAGTCTACCTGCCTGCCTGCCTGCCTGCCTGCCTGCCAGTCTACCTGCCTGCCTGCCTGCCTGCCTGCCTGCCTGCCTGCCTGCCTGCCTGCCTGTCTACCTGCCTGCCTGCCTGTCTACCTGCCTGCCTGCCAGTCTACCTGCCTGCCTGCCAGTCTACCTGCCTGCCTGCCAGTCTACCTGCCTGCCTGCCAGTCTACCCGCCTGCAGCCAGTCTACCTGCCAGCTTTCCTACCTCTTCTTTCCCTACCTCTCTGCCTATATACTTGTTTGATATCCCACACCAACAATACAGAAAACAGTTAGAACAATTTTCACGCACAAGTCACCAAACAATTTATTTTCCCCTCAGGCAGATTACATCCCAGAGAAGTGGAAGAAATCCTCTTCTGAAAGGCCTTTTTAGAAACCTGATTCTTCAGTTTAACTAGATTCTGAAAGGCGCTCTTCCATTTAGCTAAATTACATTTGTAGATAACTGGAGTGTACGCCAGATTACTACAGGAGCGAGGCATGGGTCGGTAGCCTAAACTGTAGGTGACATTTAACAAATATAAATATTTATATTTCATTCTCTGAAAATAATGAAAATGTGAGAAGAATACGCCTTGTATAATACGAGAGTGGCGGACCTCCTGCCTGTATAAAGGGGATGTTACGAGCGCCTACCGCCACCGCCTCCTCCTCCCTCACTCGCCCGGTCCACGCTGCTCCCTGTATACCTGACACCCACACCCTTAATTTCCCCCCCCCTCACACACACACACACACACATACTTGACTCTTAATACACACATGGTTATTCTATTGCATAATTTTGTCTCCCCCCCCCACCACCACCACCAAACACACCTACTCTTCACACTGGCTCCTCTTTCCCTCATTCACACCAGACTTCCCCTCCCCCACACACATTAATTACTCCCTCCACGCACATACCTGAACCCCCCCCAACATACACACGTGGCTCCAACATATGCACTTGAAATTCTCTCTCAATCTTTTCATATGGAGGAAAAATAATCAGATGTCAGGCGCTTGAAGAGTTGATCATTTAAAGTTGAATAATACTTTATATCAGCACAAGTTCCAGAGAATAGATGGATCCAGAGAGTCATTTCACTCAGATATAAGATAGTCCACGGAAATGAATGAGCAAAAGTCATGCACAGTAGTTAGGTACCTCTACTTCCGAAACGTTCCGTATTCATAGCAGGCTTCCTCAGTTGAATACAGAGGTAAGTATGGAGACAGCAGAAACAGTGGAGAAGTAAAGACGTGATCAGCTTTGATGTACTAGTTTCGAGGTGGTCAGTCCCTTGAGAAGTGTTCAGCTCCATATTCTCCCACATTTGTCTCACCTGTCTACACAGGTGTAACTAATGCGATATTTTACTGCGGCAACGTTTTGCTCTCCAGGAGCTTTGTCAAGCCTGGAGAGCGAAACGTTGCCACAATAAAATGTTACATTAGTTGCACTTGTGTCGGTAATTCTATCGACATTGTTATAATGGTACGTTAGTAGGAACGTTATCGATGTGTTATATCCGTTAACAGTTCCAGTGATCAGCGTCCCCGAGTCCTGCTCTCAAACAAGATCTCTTAAATTGGAAAAAAAATGCCCCAAGATTAGGAACTATTGGGAAAAGCACAGGAAAGACGGTGAAAATAAGTCACAATCCTTGACTTTACTGTGCTAGCACCAGCAGCCTGGTGGATCAGGCTATCCATCGGGAGGTCTGGCCTGGGAGCGGGGCATTCACTCTCAAAACCATCTCCAGGTAACGTCTGCAGGTAACGCCCCAGGTAACCTCCCCAGGTAACGTCTCCAGGTAACGTCTCCAGGTAACGCCTCCAGGTAACGCCTCCAGGTAACGCCTCCAGGTAACGCCTCCAGGTAACGCCTCCAGGTAACGCCTCCAGGTAACGTCTCCAGGTAACGTCTCCAGGTAACGTCTCCAGGTAACGTCTCCCCAGGTAATTACAGGATGTACTTTTATTTTCCATAACATCGGTGTACACTCAAGGCCAATTGCAAAACGTTTTGACTTTTTTGTACATTATGCGCCCGACAGTTATTTATTTAATAAGTGTGTACTGTAACTAAATTATTAGCATTATGATCAAAGAGAAGCGCTAAACCCACTAGGGTCATAGAGCGCCTGTAAGTGGAAGTATGCAAGATTCACTTGTCAGAGAAGTAACAAGGATCTTTGTCTTTTCAGGGGTCACTATCTCGACTTGCTGGTCTTAATGCCGGTTTCCTAAAATAAAGAGAGTCTAGTATCACTTCAGGATGAAATTTACTTTCGTTCACGAGCAACACTATTAAATCAACTGGTTGTTTATTGCAGATCCCAGCTTGACCTGGACTCCCACAATGGATGGTCCTCTTGAAGGCTTGAAGTCGAGTACTGGTGCTGGTACATGTGCTCAACAAGTGGTGGTCAAGAGAGGACTTACTTTCTCACTCAAGTGGCTTTTGTTTCGTTTTCCTGACTAGAATGACTTGGGTGATAGACAGGGACGTAGCGAGGTATGGAGGAAGGTAGACAGATACGTGTACGTACAAGTGTATGTGTGTGTGTGTGTGTGTGTGTGTGTGTGTGTGTGTACGCGCGCGCACGCCCTCTCGCCAGCACCGTAAACAACACATATTGAGAGAAGCACGAATAAAGTCAATACAAATCGAGTAATCAAGTCATTGTGACATCCATTACAAAATATACAATCGCAAAGTATATCCTGCCAGCAATCAAAGACTTTCACGACGATGTGTCGTCCTGCAATAAAGGAGGGGAGCAAGTTCTGACAAAGGGGGGGGTGGAGAAAGACCTGGGGCAGGGGAAAGCCTAGATGGAGGAAGAGGGGCAGGGAGAGGTGAGGGGGTAGGGGGAGTGTTGATACGATGTGCATGTTCCTCTATACATTAATTCGCGCCTCAGTACCAAACACTGCGCACACCTGTTGTTTGGGATTTCAACACAGTTTCACTCAACATAGCCGGTCTTAATGCCATACTGGTGTCTCGGGGGATGTATAATTTTCACGACTATTAAGTCTGTCACATACAGACAGCGTTCTCCCAGGGCAGGCAGATGCTGTGTTCTCACGGGCTGGTGGGCGAGCTGGTCGACGGACTGGTGGGCGAGCTGGTAGACGGTCTGATAGACGGGCTGGTGGATAGCCTAGTGAAGAGGCTGATAGGTGGGCGCCACTACCGACTTCCACAGTCTATCACATACAACCTCCACAATCTCTAATACAACACCCACAGCCTCTCATACAACCTCCACAGCCTCATATAACCTCCTCAGCCTCTCATACAACACCCACAGCCTCTCATACAACCTCCACAGCCTCACATAACCTCCTCAGCCTTTCACACAACACCCACAGCCTTTCATACAACACCCACAGCCTTTCATACAACACCCACAGCCTCTCATACAACCCCCCACAGCCTCTCATACAACCCCCCACAGCCTCTCATACAACCCCCCACAGCCTCTCATACAACCCCCCACAGCCTGTGTTCTCACGGGCTGGTGGGCGAGCTGGTCGACGGACTGGTGGGCGAGCTGGTAGACGGTCTGATAGACGGGCTGGTGGATAGCCTAGTGAAGAGGCTGATAGGTGGGCGCCACTACCGACTTCCACAGTCTATCACATACAACCTCCACAATCTCTAATACAACACCCACAGCCTCTCATACAACCTCCACAGCCTC